AAGGGACGCGCATTTTGATATAAACCGTCTATAAAAACTTACCAGACCGTTAAACGTGCGCAATTGCTTGATGGTGGTCGGTTCCGGGTAATCCAGAATGGTCGCCACTTTTGTTCTAAGGGGTCGGATACTTTGCGCATTTATAGTGTGTCCTAAGAAGTCTTAGGAGTCGGTTACAATTTGGCATTTCTGAATGTTTACAGTAATGCCATGTTTTCGTAGTCGGTCGAACACAAGATCTAGACGCTCGACATGCGATTCTCTGTCCGGACTTGCTATTAGGCAGTCATCAACATACGCGTGTACGAAGTTGAGACCTCGATAAACATTATCTGTGATCCTTTGGAAGGTCTGTGCCGCGTTTCTCAGACCGAAAGGCATTCGCGAAAATTCATAGAGTACGAACAGCGTTATAATAGCGGTTTTTGGAATGTCTTCAGTGGCCATAGGAATTTGGTTATAGGCTTTAACCAAGTCAATTTTCGTAAAGACAGTTGCACCTTTCAAGGTAGCTCTCAAATCGTGAATGTGAGGCAACGGGTAATGATCGGGAATGGTTTTTACATTCAATCGCCGATAATCACCAGTTGGACGCCAGTCTTTGCTGTCCTTTTTAGGGACCATGTGCAACGGAGATGCGCATGGGCTATTTGACGGTCGTATGATTCCTAAGTCTATCATATGGTCAAAGTCGTTTGTCACCAACCTGAAATTCTGGGGGGCCAGTCGGCGTGCTTTAGAGAATACAGGTGGTCCTGTAGTCGTGGTGTGATGTGTAACGTTGCTGGTTACACACGGCAATTTCGGTTGTGGTTGATAAATGCCAGAATACTTATCGAGTAGTGGTTGATAGAAGGGGTCTATAGTGTGCTTAGTAGTGATTGGAGATAATCTGCAACCAGTAAAAGAAGTTACGCAAACAGGCAAATTAGTATTTAGATCTACTAGCTTCCGTTTGTGCGTATCGATGATTAAGTTGTGGTGCTATAGAAGGTCCATACCAATGATCGGCATAGAAACATCTGGAACAACAAAGATCCAGTGAATGGGTTTGAGTAAACCCACGTTAAGATAAACGTACCTTTTGCCATACGCAGCGATAGGCTTTCCGTTTGCCGCCTGTAGATTTAAAACCGATTCGTGAAACCAGTCGTTAGAAGTCGCTGGGAGAACGCTAACTTCTGCGCCAGTATCGACGAGGTATCGAACTCTCGTTATCACATCTGTGACGCATAACAGACGGCTATGTTCGCCAGCTACGGTTGCCGTTAACGCGTGCCGGCTGGGAAGTTTCCTGAAACATTCTTCACGTCGACCGATTTTGAGTTGGGGAAATTGCAGGGTTTTCTGAAATTTCTGACTGACTCTCCATACTGGTTATGATACCAGCACCAGTCAGGATTATCCGTCTCTCGAGGTCTAGAGACAGATCGCCTACGTGAAGTGCTTCTTCGCAGGGTGTGTGACCGTTTACGGTCGTTACGAAGTTTAAGATAACGCGCAAGTGTATGACATAACTCTATAATATCATTCTGGGTCATTTGAGGCTTTTCTTTGACTGAAAAAACCTCGGTATTAGAAGATTTAGTGATTTCGAGGATACGGTCAGTAGATTCAGCCAGCTCGTCTACGGCGTTGTTTTGGAACGAGACCAGCACAGCTTGCACCTGTTCAGGAAGTTTTGATAAGAAAAGTTGTTTGAACAAACCATCATAGAAGGTACTTTGGCCAATAACTTCTCTCATTCTTTGCAACATGTCTGTGGCAGAGCTGTGTTGCAGGTCGAGGTTGTAAAGGAGTTGGTCTAATCTTTGTCGATCGGTTAGATCTCCGCGTTTAAGGATGGCATGTTTGAGGGTTTCTTTTTGTTCAGAAACATCACTAGTAAGCATGCTAGGTGTTACGTACCTGTTGATTTCGCGAGGTAGTGCCTTGACTACTGCGAGGAATTGTGCACGTGTGTCGTTCACGCCGTGCTCGTAGAAGTCGGCTTCTGCGTAGCTAAACCAGGCTTCGATGTTGTCTGGCCAGAAAGGCATAAGTTGGGAGGAAGGTGGGGACACAATCTTTAACTTAAATACCTTAGGTGTCTGTTCAGTCATAGTGATATATCAAGTACAAAAATGAACGAATGGGAAATATATATATATATATATATATATATATATATATATATATCCAAAAACACGGGGAAAAAATATCACAATGTGTAAAAAATTAAAATAGGACAATGATATGTAAAATCCCAAAAATGAACACACTCAAAGTTTGCAATTTGGTGTACCAGATCACGTTAGGCTCACCAATGAATATGCCACAGGTATTCGGAATTTGACAACGCTTCGACCAGTAACACCTTCTAATATGAAGTGCACCCACCAAGTAAAATCAAAAGACAGAAGCGAGGAGATCGAAGATATATTTGATAAGCTATCAATATATCGAGGATCGTTTGCACTAATCTGGCCACACGTGATCTGGTGCGGATGCTTGACCGAGCGCCTTCAGCTAGATGAGTCCACTAAAACTAATGTGGTCAGCATCCAATGTCGAAAACTTACAGAGCTATTTATTTTGGGGAATTATTTACCGCTACAGTACCGATATTACTGGGTAATTAAATACAGTAAACCTTGAAGGGTTTTTAACACGTTGGTCTTGGCTGTAGGTTGGTATGCTACGTGTTACAGATTATTATTCTAGAACAAATTATTACTATCGTGCTTTCTTCCAAAGCAGATCTGGTATTGTTAATATTTTGTATAAATCTAAGGGATCATGAACATGACAAGATATGATCATACACCTGCTTATCATCAGGCTATCCAAATGTTTTAGATGTGTCTAATAGAACGATTTCGGATAATACCCAGGTTTTTTCGACGGTTGAAGATATGATAATCCAGTTTTTTAGAGAATGAATGGAAAATGTAGTACTTGCATCTTGCACTGAACGGTATCAAGGGGGAGCAAGTTAGTGGTTAATAATTGTGTACTTTGTCACACATAATGGGTTGGACCATAAGGCGCAACACCAACATGTGCCTTTTCCGATTGGCTAAGGGATGAATTTAGCCGTTCTCTCATACGCCTTGTATACTTTAAAGACGGTTTATGAAGTTATTAGACAATATTTTTCTGTGGTGTCTGCACGTTTAAAAAATTTATATATTCCTAAACTTATAAGTTCTCTACGGTATAAAGCAAATTAGACTATAATTTCGGTTCATTTTATTTCCCTACTTTGCAGTTGTGTTAAATACTTTTTACTCCCAATTCGTCACTTGAAGTAGACAGGTAACTCACTGAACTTATCGATACTGCTCAACTAAAATCGGTCGCTAAGCGACACTTACTACTACCCTAAAAATTCAAAAGAACCTCACAATCGACTGCCAACTACCAGTGGTTTTGCAGAGGTGGAACCTGTTACCAATCAACCGGTTAGGATAGAACAAAATAACATCAACCACAAGTTAATGTGAGTTCCTTCTTGTTTATTCTTTATCAGCGTTTAACTCTTCAGTACACTATGTTGACTTGCCATTAATATTATTTCACAACTCGTTACCATATCTGTAACCCATATACTTTTATACTTCTCCGTCTACTTTGGTAAACAACCATCCTACAATATACCCTTCTTAATACCTATACTCTGATTGACAACCTGTACTTTATACTATATTCAAATAAGGCATCGTATCGATGCCTTACTCACAGTCCATAATTTGTAACTGCGTGATAAGCTTGTAAAATGTCACTTATAGAAATAGTGTTTTCCAACAGGATGTGAAGCACATAGCATTCTGTGAGTTATGATATGTATAATCAAGAGTAAGCTTAATTGAGCCTAACATTACAAAAAGAGGGGGTGTATTTACTGACCAGCATGCACTGATGGTGATGTCGATGACTTCAGTCCACCCATGTTTTCGGTGCAGAACATTTTGTTTGTACCGTGCTCTTCATGGTCGATAACAAGCAAAACATTCTGTGATATTGTGGTTGTTCTCCTACACTCACCATTCAAGTTGATGTTTCTAATTTTATGCTGGATTAGCTATTCTACTAAGACAACCTATAAAATGCTTACTCAGACATTTACACTAGGACTGTGTGGTTTGCGTTGGATCAAAAAGGAAAAAAAACAAAGTAGAAAAAATCAAACAATAAAAGATAGTTATTAGATTCTTAACACTTCACTCTTTATGCACTTTCCGTTCTAATAAACATCCTTCCTTATCCTAAACTTGACTTCCTTTCCTTCATTTGAACTTATTCCACCTTGATAAATATCACAACTGATTGTTCTTTATTACTGCATTATCGCTTCTTTAGCCTCTGATCACATTTTGCTCTAGAAACAAGAGGTTGTATGAATTTGATCTAATAATTTATCATACCTCTATCTGTTCCACTGCAAAATATAAGGCATTGTTTAGCGCTCATATCCAAGCACCCTGCTGAACCTCTGCTTTTTTTTCAGAATCTCGCTACGAGATTTTAATTACCCCGAGCATCATGCTAAAGATATTTTAAACCAAGGCATTAGAGTTATGTCGGTGCACCGGCCGTCTAACATGGTATAAACTCTTCTTATGACGATAAATTTCGCAACCAAAAATTTACCAAGACTCCATTTGTCGTTCTGTTTTCAGAATTCTGAGTTGGTGACACTATGCGGCATCACCAGGAGTTGGACCCTGTATCTACAGGCTTCTCTGTCAGCTCATAGCCTAATGACCTTTGAGCTGACCATAATCACATGCAAAATTACTTAAGCTTACAAAACCTGATTTAGATGTCTCAACAATATCATTAAACACCAGGATTAATAAATGTCACATGACCTATCATTACAACTGTAGACTAGCATTACTGTCTCAACGTCTGACAGAAATGGCCGTCTTTTATCAATTAACAAAGTTTATCTACTGTTTATCCATCTACCTCATGATCGATTGAGGATGTACTGGATTTTGTATTTGTGCTAGTAAAGGTTTTGTTTTCAAGGTTGACATGAACGCGGTAAACCGATTGTAATATGCCGGTAAGATAATTTCTCAACTTTTTTTCATTGGTTAGAGGCAGCGTTCATACACTCCAACTGAACAAGACAAGGCAAAGTCAGTCAATAAAGAATTTTTTAGTAAGCAATACAAATCTTTGAAGACATATATCCGAAGTAGTCCTTATTGAAAGCGCGAAATTATGTTACAGGTACTGGCTCTAATCCTGTTCTCAACTCAGGAATATGCTCATCACAAAGTCCTAGGATACCTGGATCTCCTGCTTCGTTAGCCGCAAAGAAAGGTGTCTTTTATCAAGATGACAGTGGAAAAATTATCAGCTTAAGTAAATCAAGGAAATCTAACCATTCCGTTAGTTTTCGAATAAAAAGTTATGGAAAGTATTTCAGGATGGCAGTAAGCTGATTTCCGATTCGAAAAGTAGACTGATACTGGACTTGTCCTCTTTGGGGCTTGATAGCGTTTCTCCGGACATCGGGAGTCTCAGTCATTTAATAGAGCTTTTTTTGTATGATAATAAGTTAACATGTCTTCCCTTGCAGATTGGACTTCTGAAAAACCTCCAGCGGGTATGCCGTAATTTAGTTTACCTTTTTTCACAGTTGTGGCTCCAGGAAAACTCCCTCACATTTCTACCAGATGAGCTTGGTTATTGTTCAAAACTAACTCATCTTGATATCAGGCATAACAGACTTGAAGGTTGCATTCCTGTTGTTCTCACAAAATTCACTTTAATGAAACAACTCTACCTGACTTACAATAAATTAACAGATATATCTGCTATTGGTAATTTATGTGTAGGTCTAGTCTTGTTATTTTCACGTATCGTGTATGACATTTTTCTTGGAATTTCTTTTTTGTCTTCCGCATCAACTCTTTTTAAATCTAGCGTTTGTTTCAAATAATAACGTAATACATTTGGACATACAGTTGAGTTTCATTTTCAGTCTAGGAAGTACAGAAGGCTGTAAGACTTGTGGTAATTACGGAGAAGTAAGTTCTCTCAGTTAATACAATTATCGTTGAATGTTCATGAAGATGGAGCTATAAACATGTGTTGAGGTCCGTATTTAGCTAACTGGTTATTCATTTTGGCCTTTCGAACGATTTTGGAGTGTCCATGTAAATCCTCTTTTTTAGAAGGTAAAAAATGATGGGATGTCTAATGCGAAATTGACATTTAGTAGGCTACGATGTCCTCTGATCGATGTGTCTCATAAGAGGACGAGGTTTAGTTCATCGGATCCGTCATCATATACCAGCCTTGAGATGCACGTATTCAACTTATTTGATATTTTTATACCTTTTACAATTTCTTACTACCCTTTTTAGGTAAATTAACGGCTTGTATGCAATACACGAGTTCCAGTTGAACTCACAGTGTATATAATTTAAAGGATTGCTGAAATTTTTACTTATAAACTGTAGAATTCTGAAACATTTTAGAGTGATTAAACATGTACAATGGTTTTCAAATTTTAATGGGTACCAACCTCTGAATCACTATGTGTATAGAAAACAAGTGACTTAGCATTTTTCGCTATTAATTGTGTTAATGACCAATATGCGCCGTAATCCACCTAAATCAATTCAATACCAGTTGCTGGGTGCCATACTAATATTCCGATTTCTGCAGATCTTTTAAAGGCTCCTCAACATTCCCTTTGTTTCATGTCTTTCATCGTATCTTGATACACTTGTTAAGTCTTCAGTTACAAGACTGACGATGACAAAAAACCAGGATGATCATTGACATACGAGGGAATTATTGCTAGTTTTAATACTGCATTACTCCATTGGGCACCGTTTTTAAGCTAGACAGCTAATGCTCTTTATTTAGGTATAACTGAAAGGTTATTTATCCACAGAAATAATCTTCCCTTACTTCGATACTGTTCTACTTTGGTAACAGCCTGGTGTGTAGAACTTTGTCAGGGACCTGAGGTCAGTAGAGAGTAAATCAACGGGTAGTCCATAATATTCAAGAGCGATACTAAGTTGATACTTTAAGGATTTTTGTAAAATTACCTACTGTAGACGTTCTGCGAGATGTTCTTACTATTACGTTGCAAACATATCTTCATAGCATAATGGCTTTTCCTGAATGAGTTTGGCACTTTAATGAATTTAGTTTCTGTTCCTGCACCAGATGTACTTCATAGTTTCAAAGCAATAAAAATCTGCTTAAAATTACCAGGTTAGCGGAAGTTTGACTAAATGATTTCTTAATTACAGAAGATGACAAACGTGAGTAACAACTAGAATAAAAGTTGGTATTGTATCTTGGGCATAGCTTCTCTGTGTGATAACTATTAATACTTTCTTCCTGTTGGTATCAAACGGAGCAAATTTAAAACCGTGTTACGGCTATTATGGGTTTGATATGTGCATATTTTAGTCATATTATACTTTGATCAAGTGATATATAATACAATCTTGAAAAGTGTTTGAAAAAGGCACTGTTATATCTCATGCATTCTTCTACTTTGTTTCAATCACCAATGTATCGTTCTGAATTATTACATCTGTGATTAAAATTCGAAGCGTTGGTGTATAATACCGCTCATTCAAAGTTTACCAATAGATTTTTCTACTTGACATTATTAACGATCGGAGTTAAAACACCTTAATAAATAATTTCTTTTTATTGAAATCCATTTTCATTCACAAGTATAACTGAATTATGAGCTTTTTTAATTTATGAGCATGTTTTTGCATGCTAAAACTATGGTTTCTACCTATTTTTAGAGATTTAGTTACTTTCAGAAAGTGTTTAGATGTCATTGCAACCCTTCGGATAATTGATATGACCCGTTGTGTCAATGAATAAAAATAAAGAGAATTCAGCAAATAAATTTTTTTTCGACGAAATCATTTACTTAAGCTGTAATTCGCGTGTTTAAGTTCTCTTTTATTATCACTATATTTCGATTTTTTAATAAAAGTTTTGTAATTTTAAACCATAATCAGTTATTATTATCCTTGAACAACTTTTCATGATTATTATTCAGTTTTTACTATTATGACCTTTATGTCTTACGTTTTTATTCATATTTGTCAAGTAGACAATTATCTTTTATAATCCTGACCCGTTATTTATTTCCATTCTTATATTCTTCTTTTACTTCTTGATTATTGCGTAATCTCATTTGATAATAAGTCTCGAATCAATTTATGATGCAATCTTTTCTTTCTATGGCTATATATTTGTCAAACAACTATAAATACGAATGTACAGCATAAGTAAATGATTTTGTCGGCAAGAAAGGTTTTTGTTTAAACGTCCATTGTTCGTAACAATTAGGGATCCTTAAGTGATGAAAAAGACATGCAGCTTAGGTGAGTGGTTTTTGCGGCGTTTTATTATATGAGATAGATGCTTTAATGACGCAGATTTCATTGTCATTCTGAAATTCATCATTTACTTTATGTAACAGTAGGTGCTGACTGATTATATTTCAGTTAGATTTAATAGAAAGTCACTAATGCTCATCAGTTCCATTGGAAAAGTCTATTGACAAGCTACCATGTGCGATAAATATATTTCTTCCACAAAGAAAGTTTTCCTGTTGAACAAAAGTTCCACAATTAGTTCATCAAACAGCACTCAAATTTTTGATGCTTTTGTTTGTTGTAATTGTTCACATTATGAAATTAATCATATTCTGTATCATTTTTACCGGGTAAATATATTTTCTTATTAAGTTTTTACAGACATTAGTAGTGAAAAGTAATCAATTGCAAGGACCGATTCCAGATTGTATTGGAAATCTTACGCAACTAAAAACTCTGGATCTATCGAAGAATCGTTTGACCAAAATTACTGAAAGTAGTTATTTTGTTTACATTTTGTGAGAAATATAATTAAAAAATACCTGCTACAAATGAGATATTTGTAAACGACTGGGAAATTTCATTTAACTCAACATGATGATAGTTAAACATGTATGCAAAGCGCCTAACTAACAAGCGGTAGTCAAACTACTTTGCATTTATTTAAATTCACATAGTTATCCGTTTATATACATCGATTTGGCTGATAGATTAAACACCCCACACTAATATAAAGAAAATTAAGCTATACAATTCGTACCACTGATCAAGAATTTCAAATTCGTTTGATGATCATAGATGACCTTCTGCGGTGACGTACACCAAACATACTAAAAAACATATGAGTGAAGGTTTAAATACTTTTTAAACCTTATTAGATAACCGTTCATAACTAACTAGTTTGTATGGTGAGACATTTGGAATTGCACAGATAAACTCTTTGATTTGCAATCTTTAAGTTGAAAAGACGTTACAGTTACACATAATTTTTTTGATTTAAAATCTATTTAGAATAGAACATGGAGTAAATGTTTAATAGATTATTGGTTCATGTAATTTTCTTTAATCAGTGTTGATGTTCTATAATGAACGTACTCATTCATTTTATTGATAAAAACTGCCCCAAAGTTTTACATTGGATGCTGATTTAGCGACATACATGTTGAGTGTTTGTACGCAAAACCAAAGGTCCTGAACTAGAGTCCCGGTTGCAGAGTTGTGTACGCGCATCTCTGATGAGTCCCATACTAGGACGATATGGTCATCTGGTGCTTCCAGACTTTTATTAGTAATCTAGCTAAGATCAATTTATGAGTTGAGCGATGAAAATTCTATAATCGTCATAAATACCCCTAAAGTAAAACTAACTTTTTCCTCATATGAAAGTGCAGTTTCTTAGTGATTGTTAATACATATCTATCCATCTTTTTAATGAAAAATAATGTTGTTTTTTAGGTTTTTCTAGTCTATCTGGATTAGTTTCTTCATTTTTATAGAAATTCAGCTTTTTAAGGTAAAACTAATGAAATTCAACAACACTTTACCAGTTTAGATTTTCTGAATGTATAATGAGATGGTAAATTTATAAAGTTCGGTAAATAAATAATACTTGAACAAACATTAATTGATTTGTACGTAACTTTATATTGATTTTTTCTGTCACTTGATAATAACTTTTCAAAGTTATATGCAGGTAGAAATTTCATATTTTAGTCATGTATTTGAACTCTTTCTTCAGTTTAATGATGGATGAATGGATGGATTCATACATTAAATGTAATGGCTGCACAACAATCACAGAATATGAAATTCGTTTTTTATCGAATTTGAGACAATCGAATAGTAAACGTTATATATATATATATATATATATATATATATATATATATATATATATCACATCTTCTTAACCATCGCCTAACTCGATGAGGGATGTTAACTGGTGTAGGAGTAAACTGGAAAAAAATTGAGGTGGTCAGACTTAAAACTGGCATCTTCATTCGAGTTTTGAATTTCAGTGTTTCTTCATATATGCCTTTTCAATAACTCTCGGAAACATATTTTAAATCTTCATTTTTCTCGTTATCAACTTTGTTATGTTATATTGATTATTTTGCTACTACTCTCAACTTTATCGTCAAGCCAATGTATCACGGTAACTTGAGCCATCTCATATATTTGCCAGGCTCTAAGTTGATCATAACTGACTGGCAGTTGAAAAAGAAACTCTGTACCTTAAATTTTATTTTCAAGGTGACGTAGTGGGTAAAATTCCCATCCGCCTAACCAATAAATCCAACAAAATGACTTTCAATACCGCCATTTTGAACGTTACATTTTCAGCTAAGGCAATGCTGTTTCAGCAAACCAAGGAAAAAATACCGATGATGATCTCGTCTTTGTGTTCTTATCAATTTAACTTGTCCTATGGTTCTAGTTACGTAGACTGTACTCAAAGGGCTTTATCCTTGCATGTGACCTTTATGATCTGTTATTTTAGTGAATTTTGTTAAGTAGTTTCGAAGTTTGGCTATTTATGTACACTTTTGCTCAAAAGTTTTCATTTAGATCTGAATGGCTGAGATGTTAAATGCATTTATTGTCAGATTTTCCCATTTTCTTTCATGTTAAGTATTCTGTCCTGCTGAACTAAATGACAAGATGATGGTATATATATATATATATATATATATATATATATATATATATATATATATATATATATATATATATATATACCAAGTAAGAGAACATTCAACATGACATAACATTTAGAGCATTAAAACACAGCATAACTATATCTACTGATTTGTAAAGTAATTCGCTAGTCCAAAAGATGTTAATTTTCACAGAGGATTTTGTTTTTCATGATCCTTTAAAATAAATATCTATTATCAATACAGTTAAATGATTATAACTATCATAATTTTTGTCGTATAAATGTTTAAATGTCAAAAGTTTTGACAATTTCACTAGTGTTTTTTCTCTGATTTTTATTAAGGTCACAGATAATTACTGTCAAATAATTATCCAATTGATTAACTGAACCATTTAAATTCTTCATCAGCAGTTATTGATCACATTAAGTTGAACAAAGTCGATATATTGTGTGGACTAATACATTTCCGGAAAACTAAATTTATTTTCCACCTCTTTAAACATTGTTTATACATTTTAGTTTTGTTTAGACACACTGACTTCTATGCTAATTGACCACTGGATAGAAAACTGTAGTCACCTTCCAATCGTGAGTGCAAATAAGTATTAAATCATGGCATTTGATATTGTACTGCCTATCCTATTCAACGTTTTGTGAATGCAATCGACGTGCATAACTCTATGTAGTGTTGGTCAAGGTCAGATAGAATATCAAGTGAAGCATATGTAACTAAGCATTAAGTGCAAACAACTTTCCATCCATTACATTTAGTAATCAAAGCACTAGAAATACAGTATAATCAAGCTCAGAGATTTAGGTGTCATAGAATGATAAATAAACTGAGTAACATCTTCAAATGTAATTCTCTATTTTACTTATAAAATTTAACTTTAAACTTCGGAGTTTAAAAAATATTGTTTTATATAACATATGGAGTAGTAAAGAGTAATCGTAGTGATAATATTTCATTTTGTATTAGTGAAATCTTGGAAACATTAGTTCGAAGATAGTTGTAGTTACAGATTGACACTCAATGAGGAATAATTACTAAGCGGAAGGCAATAAATGCTTATCCCGTTCCTATATAGGACTACTCAACAGTGGTAATACACTATCTGACGTGGAGTTAAGCCTACGACTATTAGAGCTTGTACAGGACATAAAACCTTTAGCCCACATTTTCAACAGTCATTTTACAATATACCTTTAATCAAGTATTATCACTTGATAATTGTCACGCTGCTGAGTTTATTAAACTTTAGCAGTTCACCGCTCTTTGGTTGAATTCGGTTCTCTAGTTGATGTCAGTTTCTGACATAAATTGTGTTAGGATTGGCACAGTCGACCTAAACCACGCAAATAAACAATTACATTAGTTTAGATCTTATAAGTGAAATTTCCTGTAAAAATGGTCAATCATCTAGTAAGTAGTAATTTATCTAGGTAAACAAACGGTCTTTAAATATGATTACTTTAAATATTGTTTTATTAATATGAAATTCAGATTGTATCAATTCGATCATACTTTTTATCAAGTGTACATTTTATTCTTACCCATGGACGGACGATAAATAACATATAGACTATAAAAAAGTCAAAAACCTACGACTGAAGGAAAATTAAGAGATTGGGACTTGAATGAGTGTGAAATAAATAACAGATTTAGTAATAGGGTTAAATTAACTATCATACTAGTTGAACTCAAGACAGAATCCTAACATCTATTGTTCCCAGTTTTATTTCAATATATATATATATATATATATATATATATATATATATATATATATTGTGGCGAAACAAACTAAATGTAAATTTAATGAACTGACATACATAAGGTTACTTAAGTGATTTGATGATTTATTAGTTTACATATTTCATTTCATTGTTAACCAAATAATAATACTTTTATAGTATATAACTGACATAATTTTTTTTGTTTTATTATAGACAAACAAATATCATAAGAATATTATTTTAAATAGCCATTTCACTATTAAATAGACTTCATCAATCTATGATATTTTTCAATAGCATATAGATTTTCCAATGATTTTAAGCAATAAATTATTATAATCTTAGTATAATACATTTCATTCCCCCAAATAATGGATCATTTTTAATTAATGTCATAACTTATTTAAAAAAACTGTTCTCATTCAATATAACAATTTTCTCTATAGATATAAATATGCTAATTATCTTAAACGTTGACCTGAAATGTTTCCCTAATAGTTAAAAAATACTCCATATCAAAAATTCTTTATAGTTGTATTACGATTAAAAGTGATACTCAAAAAATATCAATAACTGAACTTGATCATTTAAATAGTTTAGTGAGTTCTCTTGTTTAATTATTCACTTCTTTTTGTTTTAATAAACTGAACACTGATGTTTACTTAATTATATTTCTGTTGTTTCGTTGTAATTACATGTAAACTCAGTAAAATTACAGGTCATCTGAAGTATTTTCATTGTTTATTGATTTATATAAAAAAAACCCCACATGGATATGTTATTTTCCATGAAATAATTTTATAGTATATCAATATAATGTAAACAATTTGTTACTACATACGTATGTTAGGTTGAATGGAGAAATTATCAAAAAGTCAGAAATTTTCTCTCTATAATTTTTTTCGATTTTTTATTGATTTTTTGTGCAATCTTCCCAAAACTATTTTTCCTAGTGCGATATATTTTTCTTTGTTATACATTTTCAGGGAATATATAGGTTATTTATCCAAATAATTTATATAAGATAGATATTTTAGCAAATTACTTTAATATTAAAATGATATTCAGTATAATAATTACATGTTAGTTGTACTTGCATT